TGTCTTTCCAGGAACCTGAGGTGTTTCTGTGAATGGGCATCTTATGGATCAGATATATGGGAATTCCACAAATTTCTACTAAAATGCAGTCATACATGGCCACTACAGTCCTCCCCAGAGTTCTAAGAGCATTTAACAGTAAGAGTAAGATGTTATTTTCCGCAGCTCGTGTGGCTCAGTTGGTTGGAGTGTTGTCTCATACAGCAAAAGGTGGCAGATTCGATTCTCATTCAGAGCACATACCCAGGTTGCATGTTTGATCCCCAGTCATGCAGGAGGCAACCAATGGATGTTTCTCTCTCACATCCATCTCTCTCTCTCTCTCTCTCTCTCTCTCTCTCTCTCTCTCTCTCTATATATATATATATATATATATATATATATATATATATCTTTAAAATCAATAATTTAAAAAACTGATTGCTCTTTTCTAAAAAAAAAAAAAAGCCACAAAAAGTAGGATGTGATTTGAGAAGCTGTGGGAAATAAAGTACACCCCAAAATGTAAACATTTCAAGATATCTCTCCTTCTAGATTCCACCGAGATCCACATTAGAGATATTTTTCTTGGATTTCACCCTCACATTGCTCTAAGTGATCTAGTATAAAATATGAATATCCTATGGGGGGAGTCATCTGAATCAATGATTAAGTCTTGCTGCTTCTATATAAAGTAATTTAGTGCTTGCCTTTTTCTGTGGCTTAAAAGAACACTGTGGCACCATAACAGGAATGTACTTAACACTTCTAATCTGTACACTTTTACAAATGGCTAAGGTGGTAAATTTTACATTGTGTATATTTTAACATTTTATATATATATGATGTCTATCTATCTATCTATCTATCTATCTATCTATCTATCTATATGCCTAATATGCAAATTGTCCCCTCAGGAGTTCAACCAACCAGAAGTTGGATCACTCACTATGATGTGCACTGACCACCAGAGGGCAGCATGGAATGAAGGAAGGCCCCAGCTGGCAGCTGGCAGCTGGCAGCCACTAGGGACCCAACACATGCATGAATATCATGAACTGGGCCTCTAATAGAGATAGATAGATAGATAGATAGATAGATAGATAGATAGATAGATAATAGATAGATAGATAGGTAGATAGGTAGATAGGTAGATAGGTAGATAGATATAGATATAGATATGTAGATATGTAGATATGTAGATATGTAGATATGTAGATATGTAGATATGTAGATATGTAGATATGTAGATATGTAGATATATATGTATATGAGATATCCCCCTGTATCATCTGCATTCTTTTCAGAGGATGAAGCCAAGGATGAAGTCTTCTTGGTGAAGACTCTGCTCTTCTTCAAATCACAATTGAAGGGGGACTGATGGCGTAACCTGCTGCAACCATTTGCACCAAGGATTCAGAATCTGGAGAAAGGGCCACACGCAAATAGATATACTAGACAAGAAATATAAATTCAGAAGTTATTGGGGGAACCAGGCAGAGACCTACTCTCTAGTGGAGTGGCTCTCCGAATCTCTGGTCCCACTGCTTTTTATTTACTAGAATATACATTTTCCCTTTAGCAAAGCAAATAGGCATATCAAAGGTAAGGTTTGATAAACAGTAAAAGATTATCAGGTTAGAGCAGTGGTTCTCAACCTTCCTAATGCCGCAATCCTTTAATACAGTTCCTCATGTTGTGGTGACTCCCAATTTCATTGTAACAAATTGAACATAATTAAAGCATGGTGATTAATCACAAAAACAATATGTAATTATATATGTGTTTTCCGATGGTCCTAGGTGACCTCTGTGAAAGGGTCCTTCCACCCCCAAAGGGGTCGCGACCCACAGGTTGAGAACCGCTGGGTTAGGGGATTGCCCTGAGCCACTATTATCTCAACAGAACAATCAATGCATAGCTTTTAGCCCTTGCGAAAGCCCAAGGTCCATCAGCCTTCTGACAGACCCCTTGCATTTATTATGCTAAGTACTTGTTGGTCTTTGCCTCCAGCAGTAACCTGGTCCCATTTTCTGACATTTTGCACAAAAAGAAGAGTTAAATTAATAGCATTATTTGGCTTTCTGGACAGACTGTAGGTTGTGTCAAGTAACAAAAGGGGCTGAAAAGTGACCACCCACCCAATATCTCCTAAAGCCATTTTGAAAGATGGTTCAAGTTCACCTAAGATTGACTATTGACCAATTTAACCTATTCACCCTTGTTGGTCCTCAGTCATGTACCCTTACATTCACAGAGCACTTTAAATTGCTCTTCCCCCTACTTCCCTCCTAAAGCCCACAGCCCATTCTTCTTTCCATTCATTCTCTTCGCTTATGCCCTCTCTTAATCACTGACCTATGTCTTCAAAATCTATACTACAGTCCTGGTGGAGCCCTGAAAATACAATATTATTGTCATAATTTGTTAAAGGCACTGTGGGCATTTAGGAAAAGGGGAATAGAATAGGATGGTGAGACAGTTATGCACAGATTCCTGGTATTCCATGATTCTGAGAATGGGGGATTTAGGCTCAGAAATATGGCAACTAGTGGCCAAGTCTCTCCAATCTTCTTTTTAAACAACGAGAGTAAACTTTACATAATGAAGAATTTACTCTTCCCTCTTCCCCCAACAACTTCCCAAAGAAGGAAAATGAAAATATAAACTGAACATCTTATGCTTTTATAGCTGCTGTACTTTCCCTAGCCTTTCCCCACATGTTATTTCACTTGACCCTCAAATTCCCACCAGTGGAGTTGGCCCAGAGAAGTTAAGTATTTCACTCTGAGAACAAAGCCTGCTAATTAGCAAAGCTAATGCTGGACCCCAGTTCCCCTGATTCTGGCCCTGCCTTCTCTCCAACACCACAGCACATTTACTTTAGCATTCAGGCAAGATTGTTATTGTTTGGAAAGTATTTGTTTGTTGATACAAATCATGTGCAGATCGTTGGTTTCTAAGAGATGGCAAATTGGAACAAAGATGGTAAATACAAAAAAAAATGAGAAATCCCATTTATATCCCACTAGAAAAGTGAATCAACAACACAGAATTATGTCTGTAATGGAAGAAAAGCTCCCATTTCTTTTTGCACTATGAGCACTTTCAGATATTGGAACTCAAAACAACTTCTGGTCAGGCTTTGTTCCATGCCTCAAGTTTCAAGTAAGAGATTGTGGAACTTCTTAATTATTATTATGAAGCAAAGTTCTGAACCTGAAGTGAAACAGGATCTGCTTACACAGAAGAGAGAAATAGACTGCTGGGTGGGTTGAAAAAAGCAGACTCTAATTTATTAGTCACATTAAGGAGAAGGCTACAATTTGTACAGTCAGCTCATGCTATTCAGGAAATACATTATCAAAACTGGAGGCTAGCCAAACATCTAGTTTTGCTTTTTTCTCTATATATTTTGCTGAGCACAATATGATCACTTCAATGCCGGTGACACCTTCACTGGGTGGTAGAGTGTCCAGACTTCTGGGAAACTTCATCATCTGAGACACAGTTACACCCCTGAAGGTGTTTGAAGAAAGCGACTGGCAGTAAAGGAAATCACTCTTCCCAGGCTAGTTCACTTTTCTCCCCACTGGGGAAGTTCTGTAGCTACTCTTGCTACATGTTCTTAATAACTAACCTAATCATCATAAAAAGTTTAAAATATTTTTAAAACCAAGATTTTTTTTCTGTAAGATTTGTTTTACATAGCTGGCACATTGATGTTTGTCATGGGCATTGTCTGAACTGATCCCAGCGTCCTCCCTTCCTTCCTTCCTTTCCTCATTTATATGTTTCATTAATAAAACAATCTTGTGTCCCAAATTATGCCACATAAGTGACTGACATTGTTGTACCTGAAATACAGACACTGTTGTAATTATTGGTCCCTTGGTATGCCAGATAAATGAGGGGCACTGTTGTACTTGAAATACACTTCTGGGGAATGGCCCCTCCAGAATGCATCTGGCATGGCTAAATATGTGCCCTCCCTCCACACAACACTCAGGACTTCCTGCCTGGCCTGGAGATGATTTTACAACATCCCCTCTCTTCCTATCGTTGTCTGGGACTGTTGCCCAAACCCTGGCCCCCACCTGCACGACAGGGGACTATCTTAGTGCTGAAACTGGGACTGGAGAGGAGCCAATGGAGCAAGGCCAGTGCATCTTCAAGGAGTTGACCCTGGGAATGAAAGTAAGATCATTTAACTTATTAATAGCTCCCGTAAAATAACAGATGGGCTACGAAGTTAAAATCAATGCCTCAGACGAGGTTTGTGTATTATCAATGCATTTAAGTTACCCATAACATCTTTGCCCTGCTATTACTGAGAAACCATCAGTATTTAAGCAACTTGGCTTAGTGTTAAGAGGTGATTTTATGTATTTGATGAAGACCAAACAGCTATCATCAGGTATAAGCATTTAAGCCCTAAGCAGACAAGTTTCTGATGACCTTCTTGAGACAATGATAATAAATCAATAATTATACACTTCTAAATTTATCCATCATTGGGTAAGATTGCTTAGTTCAAGCATCTTCCTTCTGACTTAAGATTTACACTATTTAGTGACTTTTTCTCTTTTTAATAAGCCCTTTGTTTGCAAGAGTTACAAAACTGCCTTCTAAAATTTAACTGTGATAATAGCTGATAGGTATGAGGAGTTTTTTAAGTGTATCCTGAAATACTGCAAAAGGAAAGTGGGAAATTCTTACTTTGAAAGTGCTTCAGAATTAAGGAAAAGTATAAAAGTTGTTCTAATTTTTGAAACACTTGAAAAATAACCCATTTAGCCCTGTTAACCTTTTCTTCACCCACAATCACATCTATCCTATTGGAACTGGATATGTAGATATAAATATCACCACAATCCAACCTCCAAATCTAAACATCATTTCAAAAACAAAACTAAACTAAAAATCCTCCTCTAAATAGTACTTGGTCTCAAGGCTGGGATCTTTGAGAGAAGAGTCTTAGGTTATTATTTAAGCAACCTTTATTACCTGCCTCTGACATTCCTCAGGTTACAGAGCAGGGGACATCTGAGCCTTGCATTCCATGGATGAAGCAGACAGCTGCCATAACAACTAAACCAATAGAGGAGAAGCATTTGAGGTATTGGGGTGATTCATCCAGCAATGATTACTCATCGCAGAAGATGGATGGCAAAGCTACTAAAAATCAGGCAAGTTACCTTTGGGGTGACAACTGGGTGCAAGAAAACCATACAGTTGGGTCATAGGCCTTCCCTTCCCATTTGTGACCCTCTCACCCTTCAGTCCCTATTATGTCCATTCTGTTCCACAGACTGGTCCTAATGCCCTGCTAGCTCCCTGCTGAAAGAGGGAGGGAAGGAAATGATATCTAAAGTCTCTCCATTTTCGTTGTCTCTGTCTCTAAGGCAACAGGAAGCTGGAGCTGCTGCAGCGGGGCCTGGCAGTGATGACAAGTCCATTGGCTCTGCAGAGTGAACAGTCCCTGGCAGCCCCTGGAGCAGCTGCCGGTTAGATGGCCCAGAGTTCTGATAGACTTCATTGCTTCAGTTCAATGCCAAGTGTTGGATATGTTGGATTCAGTTCCCAGAGGGCTTGAGTGTGGGCTGTCTGAAGAGAAGAGAGCAGAGGCAGTTTTAACGCAGTTGGATGTGTAGGGTAGGAATGGAGGGGGAAGTGAATCGGGGGAAGCAGGAGAGAGGAGAGAGAAGAGGGAGAAACTGGCCCCGAGTGGGTAGGATGATGCTTCTTCCAAACCAGGTTTTCTGGCTGCTCATCACTGTGTGGGCCTTAGGTGAGGCGAACCCTGGAAGAGGAGGAAAGGAAGAGGCAGGGACCGCGCCCAGGGATAATAAGAGAGACGAGGAAGGCACAAGAGAGCTGAGCTGCAGTTGTGGTTCTAGACCGGCTCGGTGCTCTGGGCGAGGGCGGGCAGTTCCCCAGGGGCGAGCTGATGGCGTCCCTCAGCCTGTGAACTGGAGGCAGTCTCGGCGTTGGCTGCGGCCAGGGCGCCTCCCGTGACCCACTGGTGTTCGGGGCAGGCCTGGGACATCTGGTCCTTGGCGTCCATGAGCTTGCGGGAACGGGTGTAGGCCAGGATGAGGCCTCCGGCCAGGCACGCGTAGAAGATCATGATAAGGAGAATATAGAGATAAGCGTCGTCGCCCTTGGGACTGGTCACCTCGCTGCTCAAGAAGGTGTCAGGCACGACCCCCATGCCCCTGTTGGGTCCGAGGCCAGCGCCCAGGCCACTGGCGTTGCCCCGGTGCTGCAGCTCCAGCAGCAGGCGGTTCAGGAGGGTTCGCAGCCGCTGGCTCTCGCTGCAGTTCATGGCTGTCTGGGAGTGACAGGGCAGCTCCAGGACCCTTCTGACCTTTCTCCCTGGACGAGCGTTAGCAATGAACAAGGCGAAGGAACCCAGCTCTCCCGCGGGCTAGGATACACAGTGGCTGGGGGTGCCTGCTGCTCGGGCCTCCTTATTCCTGAACCCTTGCCCCTCCCCTTCCCCACCACGCCCCCTCCAGTCCCAGGCTGGCTCTTCCCAGGATCCAGCTGTCTCCAGGCTCCAGGGAATGGGGACAGCTGGTGAGGGGAGAAGGAGACAGGGAGGGGGTGAGGCCGGGAAGGGGGAAGGGGGAAGGGGGAAGGGGGAAGGGGGCGGGGACTCGGAATGCGCGAGACCCTAGGCATTACAGGCTGTCAAGGCAGCTTGCTGGGGCCAAGCCTGGACCCTGGACTTCGGAAGAGATTTCCTTCCAAGTTCTGGCCACCTGCCCTGCAGGCCCTGCTTTGCCCCAGGTATAATATCTGGCCCCCCAAAGCAGTCCCTGACCCGGGTTCCTTCAGCTCTTCAGTGAAGCGTTAGCCAAGACCCCTTTCGTCATCTTATGGCAATTACTATCATAGACAAAGGACCCTGGCCTAATTTTTTAGCCCTCCTTCCCTCAGTGGAGGACAGTATCTTATTCAGAAGACGCTCAGACCAAATTCGGTGACTGAATGGTTAGGCACTTGCAAGAAAATCCAAAGCAGAATAGGACTCACTGGTCTTCCAATGAAGTTTCTGATAATACACCAACCTCCTTGGAAGTACTCTTGCTCTGATCTCCTGACATGTTTTTAGAGATGCCCACACATCTTAGCATGTGAGTGCCCATCCATGATGTGACCCCGTTTTAACAAGGTAAGCCGCCTTCCCAAAAAGGAAAGCAAGTTCTTCCATTAAAAGGAGCAGGGACATTAAACTGGCCCTTTGACTACACTGTCTAAATGTCTCAGGGACTGAAAATTGCCAGTTTTAGAAAATATACTCACTTCCCCCACCTGCATCCAGTTAGGCCAGTACTCACTGTACCTCTCCAGAGCTTGGCCACAGGTCTAGGCCCCTCAGAGGGAATCTTCTTTTAGGGGAAACAAGGCAATAAGACAAAGATCAATCCACAGTATATCAAACTGGGAACAGATTCAACTTCACAAAGGAAAAGTGCTCAAAAGACAGTACATAGGGAAAAAAATGAGGTAGTTCTGGTTAGATCTGGTTGCAAGCGGTTGCCAAGTGAGAATAGAAAGGATGAAATAAAAGTATACGCCTTTATGCACACCTTGAAAATCAATCTGCATGTTCCAGAGCATGCAGTCCAGGGGGCCATTTAGTCTGCAGGTGCTATGGTTTAAAAAGGAAGGTTTTCTGGTATTTCTGCCTACCATCCTCTAAGGAGCTACATACTACATACAGCCTCTGTTGTTGGGGTATGTGTTTGGCACAAACTATACTTGGGGTCTCAAACAGAGCCTTCCTTGCTTTAATAGCCTCTACCCAGGTATCCGAGACATTACACATAATCCTGACCAGTGGCTCCCTCCCAATCACCGTGCCTCAATGTCTTCACTTCAGAGGGGCTCAGGGAAGAATTGATAAAGTGACTTGGCCTGGAAAATTCCAGAAGGTACATACAGGAAATTCTCAAAATAGTACCAGCCTAGGGACAGGACTGTTAAGGTAAAAGACTGTTCTTAAAACATGCCCAGAAATCTAGAGATTATTTGTTGGGGGGCATGGAAAAGGAAGCCCCTTCACTATAGCATAAAAGGGGTCACTTAAACTTATATTAGATTTTAAACAGTTTATGAGCTAGTGGGATTATTCCTGTTTTCAGAAAAGGAAACCACTTCAAGTGGTTAAATAGCAGAACTAGAATGACAAAGCTTGATCTTGTTCTTCTCAGTCCTAACACATTAATCTTGTCACATGGGTGGTATGCATGAGCTACCTCTATTTCCCCAGCTTTGTCTTCCCTAGAACCTTCTAGAATTCAGAACTTTCTGTTAAAACCTCTCTCTATAAATAAATTCAGTAACAATTTCCTCACCAAATTCAAGGGTTTCTGCTCAGTTTGAATGTTTGACCTCAAGGATGAACTTGATACCATCAAACCACTTACTCCTTCCTGTAACTGTGCTGCCCTTGGCTGTCATGACATTGAATTCTCAATTTTCTCTTCTTATCTCTCTAAACCAGCGGTTCTCAACCTGTGGGTTGCGATCCCTTTGGCGGTCGAACGACCCTTTCACAGGGGTGGCCTAAGACCATCCTGCATATCAGATATTTACATTACTATTCATAACAGTAGCAAAATTACAGTTATGAGGTAGCAACGAAAATAATTTTATGGTTGGGTCACAACATGAGGAACTGTATTTAAAGGGCCAGCAGGTTGAGAACCACTGCAAGCCATCAGTCTCTGTCTCCTTCACTGGCTCCTTTTCTTTCCTCCTCCCAATAACTGTTGTAATCCTTGGAAACTCAGTCCTCAGCTATTCTCTCTTAACATCCATTTCATTGGGATGTGTCTCCTTATATGGTTTCCACTACCACTTGGCATATATTAGGCAAATTTGAATATCTAGCTCTGATTTTTCCTTGGTAACATCTCTCAGATCCATCTGCTCCTTCCTTTCTGGTTTTATTGCCACAAGTTTAATCCAGGCTCTCATTACCTCAGGTCAAATATGCAAACTGAGAGTCTTCTGGCAGATCTCCCTGCCTACAACCCAATCCACCCTTCTATGGCTAAAATAATTCTCCAATACTACTTCCATCAATTCACCCATTATTCAGAAACTCAGATTTTCTCTGCATTGCTTGTTTAATAGAATCCCATCTTTTTTGGTGGACCTTAAGTCCTCACCATCAATAGACACCATCTCCTCACCTTTGCACTTGTAGAACAGCATATTCCCGGAGTTTCTCTTTGCCTTTAGCCTTCTTCAAAATTTACTAACTGAGGGGAGCCTTGCTTGAAACCTTTGTATGTGTTCTCAGAGTCTTTCTACTCCCCCTTGTAGTACCTCAACTCAGACTGCAGCATTCAATGCAGAAAATTTGGGAAATACAGAAAAACACCAAGAAAAAAATTACCAGTGCTGTATGCATACACACACACACACACACACACACACACACACACACACACACACACAGCTCACACATGATTTTGTATCCTATTTTTTTATTTAATGACATATTGTGAATTTTTTCTATGTCAATTCTTATTTTATAACATCACTAGAAGCCTAGAAGCCCAGTGCATGAAATTCATGCACGGGTAGAGTCCCTAGCGGCTGCTGGGTGCCAGCCAGGGCCTCCCTTCTCCTGGCTGCCTGCTGCCACCACTGGCTGGGGCCTCCCTTCGTACCCGCTTTGGCCTGGCACTGCCTGCTCACTTGCTCCACCATCCCACCGCAGTCCCGCTCTTGTTGGGGTCCATCAGGGCCAGCAGCGCTTCCACTGCCCCCCACTGCCAGTACCACATTGCTGATGCCTGCCATGTTCCATGCCACTCCCTGTTGGTCAAATTCCTGCCTGTGGGGACAATTTGCATATTAGCCTTTTATTATATACGATTTTATTTTCTACACAGTATTCCAGACTATGAATCTATCATTATATATTTAAGCTATAATACATTATTATGTCTGCTATAACCTACATTACATGCATATATATATGCTCAATATATGTATGTATATAGGGAAATATATGCACAAAAAATATTAACAAAAGGTTACCACTTGGTCTATAATAATGTCAACAACAAAAAAAAGTAAAAAAAAAAGGTTACCACTTGGTAAACAGATTATGATTTTTACTTTATATTATTTTCTGGTTTTGATTTTTGCATTGATTAGAATAGTAATTTTTCTGATCTATTTTCAAAGTTCAATAAATTCTTTTTTCAACTGTCTAGTCCACTGCTTAACCTTCTCATTGAGTTTTTAATTTTATTGACTGCTTTTACTATTTCTAGAAATTCTGTCTGGTCTTCTTCAAAACTATCTGGGTTTTTTTTAAAAAAAAAAAACAACAATATGATTTTTCTCCTTTCTTTTCTTTTTTTATCTTTTTTAATATATTTTTTATTGATTAAGATATTACATATGTGTCCTTATCCCCACGTTACCCCCTACCCCCCACCCCCCCGCTCATGCCCTCACCCCCCCCCCCCCCCGTTGTCCGTGTCCATTGGTTAGGCCTATATGCTTGCATATAAGTCCTTTGGTTGATCTTTCCCCCTTACCCCCACCCTCCCCTACCTTCCCTCCAAGGCCCTACAGTCCAATCAATGCCTCTCCGTCTCTGGATCAGTCCTTGTTCATCAGTTTATGTTGTTCATTATATTCCAAAAATGAGTGAGATCATGTAGTATTTATCTTTCTCTGACTGGCTTATTTCACTTAGCATAATGCTCTCTAGTTCCATCCATGCTGTGGCAAATGGTAAGAGTTCCTTTTTCTTCCTCTTCTTCTTAAAGGATACCTTTCAGCATTTCATATAATGCTGGTTTGGTGGTGAACTCCTTTAGCTTTTCCTTATCTGTGAAGCTCTTTATCTGACCTTCAATTCTGAATGATAGCTTTGCTGGATAAAGTAATCTTGGTTGTAGGTTCTTGCTATTCATCACTTTGAATATTTCTTGCCACTCCCTTCTGGCCTGCATGGTTTCTGTTGAGAAATCAGCTGACAGTCATATGGGTACTCCCTTGTAGGTAACTGAGTTTCTTTCTCTTGCTGCTTTTAAGATTCTCTCTTTGTCTTTTGCTCTTGGCATTTTAATTATGATGTGTCTTGGTGTGGTCCTCTTTGGGTTCCTTTTGTTTGGGGTTCTCTGCGCTTCCTGGACTTGTAAGTCTATTTCTTTCACCAGGTAGGGGAAGTTTTCTGTCATTATTTCTTCAAATAGGTTTTCAATATCTTGCCCTCTCTCTTCTTCTGGCACCCCTATAATTCTGATGTTGGTACGCTTGAAGTTGTCCCAGAGGCTCCGTACACTATCTTCATATTTTTGGATTCTTTTTTCTTTTTGCTTCTTCGGTTGGGTATTTTTTGTTTTTTCGTATTTCAAATCTT